AGAAATTAAATTATTTTTAAGAAAGGTTGTTTGAGCCAATAAGTGGTTAACTCTGAAAGGCGGTTGTTCTTGTTAACTGGCATCGGGTTCGTTCCGACCCATAGTGACCCTGTGTAGGGTTTCTGAGGAGCAGCTGGTGAGCTTGAACTACCAACCAGCCTTACAGTTCAAACAGCTTTGAAGTCTGAGGCATTAACCCGCAGCGCCACACCAGGAGTCCAGGAAGGATGGGAATTTGGGTTAAAAAGTTGTTTGGCACTGTAGGGTAAGTCCTGGACTGCAAGGTCAATTCGAACCCCCCAACCGCTCCTCGGAAACCCTATACACACACACACACCTGGAGGAAAGCCAGTTATTCAGAGACAGGTGTGGTAAAACAAGCCAGGTTTAATGCTTATCAACTCTACCTGAGGCAAAGGATCGGCCCATTCCCCCACCCCCCACCCCCCAGGAGAAAGAGGGGTTATAAGGATTTTGAGTATGGGGTGGAGGTTCAGGACTTCCAGCAACTTCTTTAGTGTCCTTCTTATCTCTGGTTGTGCTGATCCCTCAGAAGGATTCCAGGAACGTCTTGGTTCCTGTAATAGCCCTTGGGGTGGTGGTAAACTAATGGTTAACCTGAAGGAAGTCCAGGTTTTACCGCTAATGCCTGCTCTCCTTACAAGACAGTTGAGGCTGCACATGTTCCTAGCCAGCTGGCAGTAATGTTTGAACCACTTTCTTGTTGCTCTGATACTGACCTTCTCACCCTGAGAACAAGGTCAGACATTGCCTTTGTGTTGTTCAAGTCCCTCCTCACCATTTATGTGGGTCCCCTGGCCAAGAGCTGTGAGCACAGGTGAAACCTACTGCTTTGGTGGAGGAGACAGAGAAGCGAGGGTGCTTGGGAGCTAGTAGGACCCTGGGGGTTCATGCTGGACACAGGGAAGTGATTGATTCTACAGAAGCTAAAGGTTATCTTGCGTGGCCTTGTGTTTGAATCCCTGTCAGCCACTGGCAAGAGCAAAACTCCTGCTTCCGAGGTAGCTGGGAGCCGCGCCTGGCTGCAACTTTCTCCTGCAGAGCTGAATTGTAACTGTGGATCTTTGTTGCCTGGGTTTGGCTTGCAGACACAGATGAGTGCGCAGATGTGGATGCCTGCGGGGAGGCACGCTGCAAGAACCTGATGGGTTCCTATTCCTGCCTTTGTGACAAGGGCTACAAGTATGACAGCCAGAAGAAGGTCTGCCAAGGTACAGAAAGCCTCTGTTTCCTCCCTCCCCCTCTCCTGCCTTAATTAGGAGACCGTCTAATGAAGTCTTAGTTCTCAGTGCTCAGACCCAGCTGTAAAGAAGCAAGATGCCTTCCTACCATTTGTCTTAGTTTCCTTACTGCTGTCGTAGAAATACCACAAGGGGGTGGCTTTCAAGAACAGAAATTCATTTTCTCACGGTTCAGGAGGCTTAGAAAGCTCTAACTCCACACAGTGTCTGGAGTTCCTGGACCTGTCATCGTCAGACAGTCTGTCTTCCCTGGAGGAGCTCATTTTCCTACAGCTCGGGAAGTGAGTAGGTTTCAGAAACAGGCTGCACTGATTGTTGTTGCTAAGTGCTGTTGGGCCAATTCTGACCCACAGCCACCCTGTATAGGGTTTCCGAGGAGCAGCTGGTGAATTTGAACCACCAACCTTACAGTCCAGTGCATTATCCCACAATGCCATCGTGCCTCATTAATACAACAACAAAAAACCTACACCCAAGTGGGATTATGTCCACAGGTATGGGTTGTGATTCTAACACATGTTTTGAAAGACACAATCCATAGCACCATTCTTCCTTTCTGGCAGCCAGTGAGGAGTAGGAATAATCCCTCCTTCATGATGGAGAACCTCAGCAGACGAGGGAGAGTGTGGAATAGCTCACCTCACCTGCAGGAACAGGGCCCCTCCCAAGATCTGTGCTGCTGACTCCGCCTCCCTCTCAGCACCAGAGGCTCCCTGACCTCTGACCACCCCTTGGACGCATCCAGTGATGCCCACTTGAATTTCCATCAGTATCTTACAGTTATATCACTGTGATTTCTATACTAACCTAATCGTGTGTGAATGGTGGTGATTATGTGCCATGGAGTCAGTTCCAACTCATAGCGACCCTGTGTAGGGTTTCCGAGGCGGTAAATCTTTATGGGAGCAGCAGAAAGCCTCCCTTTTCCGGGGGAACAGCTGGTAGTTTCAAACTGCTGACCTTTAGTTTAGCAACTCCTTAGTGTGTGAGTAGATTTAACTTATTTGTTTCTTAGACAATTTCAGTACTTTGCCTCCTTCAAGTACAAGGAAAGCTAAGGAAAAAGAGGAGACTTTTTTTGTTTCAGAGGGGCAGTCCTAGATATTGAGGCTTAACTGCAGAGCAGGGAAAATATGGATGGAAACTGTGGTACAGTTATCTGGGCACAGGATTAGAGCCATTTCTGCTTTCTAAATGACATGTTTTAAATTGTTATTACAATGAACACACCTTAAGCATGTGATCAGAAAAAAGGAGATACGGTCATTATACAAAGATTGTGACTTAGAGACCCTTTCCTTTGCTACAATACCAGCACATTAATGGTTTTTCTTTTGTGACCTTCAGATGTGAACGAATGTGAGGAAAAGCCCTGTGAACAGATTTGTGTCAATTCCCCGGGGAGCTACACATGTCACTGTGACGGACGTGGGGGCCTGAAACTGTCCGAGGACATGAACACCTGTGAGGTAATGCTTTCTCTCCAGCCCTGCAGAATGAAATGCTCAGCTCTGCCCCCAAACCCAGGGCACACTAAGATAGCCCTGTGGGGGAGGTGGAGGGGAGGACTTGACTTTCTCAAAACAACAGAACCAACAGAACCAAACTTAGACTGGTTTGCAGTAGAATTTAACATATACTTGGGTCACAATCACGGTGTTTTTATTTATGATTCTTTGACAGTTGACTGCGTAGGCTGACCGAGAGAAATGCTTTTTGTGAACACTTAGCTTTTCCTAAAAGGCTTTGGCATTCTTCAGGGCCATGTGGAGAGATTTCAGTATAAGAAATGTGTCTGTTCTGTAAAAATGTTTGGCTGTATTTATAAAAATCTCTATAGCAACTACCTACTTAACAACTGACCAGCCTGGAGGTAGACCCAAAGTGTAGCACAGACACACATTAAGACACATTTTCTACTGAATCTGTCACGCTCACCCAAGGAATTAGAGAAATTAAATTATTTTTAAGAAAGGTTGTTTGAG